AGGGAGGGAGCCGAGGGTCTATCGGAAACAGCCTCTCTACCCCAGGGTAGGGGTAAGGTCTGTTGTTGTTGTTGTATCTAATGTTGTTGATCATACTTAAAAATATAGAAGGAGATCTTTGCATGTGATTCTTGGAGATAAATAATCCTTATTTATTTGGATTTTCAAACTTTTGTATGTGCTTGACTAGTTTTTGTAAGTCTATGATTAATGACTAGAGGTTGATAAATTATGACTTATTTTGGACATTTATATAAGATTCCCTAAATTTAATTATACTAGCTATGGGTGTACAAACCGAACCAGAAAATCACACCAAACCGAAAAGTCAAACCAAACCGATTAAAAAATTCGACGAGGTTTTGTTTGATTTGATTGGTATTGAGTAAAAAATTCCGAACCAAACCGATATATAAATATATAATTTTTATATATACTTTTAAAAACTTATATAGAATTTTCTTTAAAAATTATCTAAAAATATTTGGATTCTCTTATGGGATGTAATATTTAATAGAATATGAAGGGCTCCATTTTTATTAACTTTAAATAATGTGTTGTATAATCGTTCTTATCAAGTGTTATTAAAATGTGACAATCTCTTTGTTCTTTCATATTTATATGTCAAGATCTACTAAATTCTTATATCTTTTTTCAATTTGAAGTGGTATTTTGATAATTGAAAATTAAAAGAACATATCATTATTTAGGTATCATATTGATTTTTATATTTAATTATTAAATTCGGTTAATCTTGAAAGTGTACATCAACGAAAAATTATTGTGAGATAACTAAAAAATAACTATCATGTGTTACTAAAAAAAAATTTCATAAGAATTTTTTAATAGATCATATGTTTGTCAATTTTTTTAATTTTTATTAAACATATAATTACTTAGAAAAAATATAACAAAGTAAGATTGACATAGTATTCATATAACAAAAAAAATCGAAAACCCCAAAACATCCGACAAAACCGAACCAATCCAAACCGATAATGCTTGTTTGGACTAACACATCTTTAAATTTAAAATATGGTCCAAATAATTTAATAGACCTAAACTCAATAAAATTCAGTCGTCTACCATAGTAATTTAACAGAGAGTAAAAAGTACTCCTAAGAAAGAAGAGAGAAAAAGAAGAAAAGAGACCAGAAAATATAGGAGGTTATTTGGTTCAACCATAGTCAAAAAATGAGTACAATTCTGCATACAAAATATATCTTGCGCTCGAACATAGGATCCCACTAACTAATTGTATTAAGCAAAAGCACTAACAAATTAGTAACAAATTAGTAAGAAGTTAAACCAAACTATTGTAATCTAGATTTGAACTATTTCATCAACGAGCTAACAAACCAAGCAGCCTTCACTGCAATTCACCATAACAATCCCTGTATGTTCCTTTGAAATTTTGTTCTTTCTGTTTTCAAGAAAGATTCGGGAGTCATTTTATCTGTCACTCACAGACTCACAGTCTTAGGTTAAACGAAAAGAGCTCAATTGAATTCAGAGCCCATATTTGATAAGTAACACACACAGTGACAGAAGATAGCAATTGCAGCTATCGACCGTCCACAACGTCGGTTATGCTTCTCAGTGGCCGCCTCATGCTCAGGTCTCTATCTCTTGCGTCATCACCGGCAACCCCTTCCCTTCAAGAAATTGCCTCTAACCACCCTGCAGGTTTGTACCCATTCAATTATTATCCCTACTTGCAATATGTGCATCTATCGGACGTCTTCTTTACTTATTTGCAGTTGCTGTAAGAACCCATAGACTTCCTGAATCCGCCTCTGGCCCCAATCTGATTGAATTGGTTGTGCAGGTGTTGCAAAAGTAGTGCTTAAAAAGGGCAAGACACAACTATTTAAGGATGGAAGTCCAATGGTTTACAGTGGTGCTATTGATAGAGTAATTGGTAGACCACCGCCCACCACTGGGGATATTGTCCTTGTTGCTGATGGCACTGAGAAACCAATTGGCTGGGGATTTTACAATTCTACTTCTATGTTCCGTGTCCGCCTCATGCAGCAAGAAGAGGAAACAACACTGTACTATCTGTCTCTTTTATCCTTTTTCCCCCTCTTATTTTCGTTGCATCATTTAAATATTCACCACCTTGACTGGTATGCTCTGTGAAAAATCGGTGCAGAGACCCTTCTTGTGCGCTTAATGCGGAAAAGCTACTGGAAACAAGAATTGCAGCTGCTGCAGAGTTGCGTAAGAATCTAGGGCTTCCGTCTGCTCACACAAATGCATATCGTCTTGTTAATAGCGAAGGCGATAGGTATATTTCCTGAAAAATTCATCCCTATTTCTCATGTATGGAGCCTTATTGGCACTAAGAATCATTTGATCATGTCTATGGCGATGAAGTTTCTAGATAATTACTCAAGCAACTTAAATGGCATTGTCAGGTGCATTACCGTTGAGTCGTTCCTGATTATGGATTTTAGGTACTCAGTCTGTGCAACTATTTTATGAAAAAAGAGGGACAATTCCAAATAAAACAAAACAAAATAAGATTAAAAAAAGTGAGGGAGGAAATGGGGAACAGATGGAGGACTGCTAGCTGTCAATGCTAGATGGACAACTAGTAAATGATTGTCATAGCCGTTTCTTACACGGAAAGAATCAGTCGACCCTTTTAAATTAGTAAAATTTAGGTATAGGTTAGCTATAGCTGTAATTTAACTCATGCTATTATGCTCTGTATCTTCTAAGATGAAAACATGTAAAGCCTTCTTTGATAGGATCCATAAGACATTTTCCTCAAATTATTTCTCCTTCTCATATCTACTAATTGCAGCTTTTGACTGATTCCCTGTGGTTGGTGTTCTACTTTTCATTTCGCTAGTTAGTTACATGTACTCCATGTAATATGCGTGATTGTGAATATTATGCTGTTTGCATTACAGAATGAAGAAGATTTAGCAATGTGTTAAAAATTAGACTTTTTTCTTTCTATATTTCTTTTTGAGAGTGAAGTTTGCTAGAAGGCAAATGTTATAGCTGAAGAGACTTGAATCGATGTACTGTCTTATTATTGAAAAGTATTTTGCTTATTAGTGCTTAAGTTTAGAAATGATGTCCGCTAGCAGCTCGTGCTTCAGTTCATTAGGATTTCTTGTTTAGCATAGGTAATATGTATTTAATTTTCGAGGAGCTTTTTGTGAAGAGAGAAGTTACAGAATTCTGGTCCAACAAGCTTTTTGTGAAGAGAGATGTAAATACAATTGCTGACTTTTTGGATTTCCCCCGTATTTAAAGGAATCAGAGGTCTTATGTGTACATATTAGTACCTTCTTGGTGCAAGTAATGAAACTCTATTTTGGGCAGCCCGGTGCAGAAAGCATCGTGCGTTCACGCAAGGTCCGGGGAAGGGGCGCACCCCAAGGGGTGTGATGTAGACATCCTACCTTTCCGTAATGCAAGCATTAGTGGCTGCATTCTACTTATAAAATAAAAAAGGACAAAGGATTCTGTCCAGTTAATTTAGTTTGTTGCTGCTAGTTGGTTCAGTCAGTTTTTGGCATAGTGACAACTTCAAGTGGTTCATATTCACTATGGAAGAAGTTCGTCAAGCTTCTAAAATTCATATGGGACATGGGATGCAGTTTCACCCAACCCGGGGGTGACAGTGGTCATCCTTTTCTTTCACCTAGTAAAATTCATAGAGGCAGGAGCATGCAGATAGATGTAGGCAGTTGTTTTTTAGGGCAAATGTGTAATTTATGATGTATATTAGAAATACATATGTCAAGTTTTTTCAGAGGCTGTTAACATCTTGCATTTTTTGCAAGGGTGATTTTGGTGATTTTACGTGCTCTCGAATTTGTCATTCAGTTACTTCAATTGCAAGAAATCTGATATTTACTTATTGCAAAAATTACTGCATGACAGACTATCAGGCCTTATTGTTGATATCTTTGGAGATTTAGCTGTAATAGCTTCATCAGCTGCTTGGGTGCAGATATACCAGCATCAGATAACGGATTGTTTGAGTAGATTAAATAATATCAAACAGATAAGCTGGAGGCCAACTGTTGAAATCTTGAAAGAAGAAGGCTTAGATCTTTCTGATTTGAAAAAAACAGATCTAATCATACCTCAAACTAGGGTAAAGGTGAGATCTGTATTCATATGGATATGTTGTGCCATTCAGAATTTGTTTTGAGCTAAAACCGATACGAAGAGTTGTTTGCTCGCATGGAGGTAATAAGAAACTAAGCCAAGAGTGTGATCTGACATGGAATCCTGTTAACATATAAATGTTAGATGCTAGGATTTGCAAAAGTACAATGCTAAATCCGACTTTTAACTTTTAGAGGGTATATTTGTTGTTAAGGAGGCATCTCCTTTTCATTAAGCTATTATTGTCGGTTTCAGAAACTGAACGCAAAATCGTAGATGCATAATCGTAAGTAATTACAATCATCTTCCGTAGTGTGATATGTGGACAGGTGCTTATGTTGCACGCAGCAATGCTTTAGAAGCAGTTTAGATGCTAAATATCCAGTGAGCTTTCTGCCTGTAGATTTGAAATAAGTATGCTATACTGGCCTATCATTAGCATCAGAAAACTGATCTAGTTATTAGATAATAATATTGTGGAGTGTTGATTCAGTTATCTTGAAGTTTATATTTTGGCCTAATCCTGTCAAAATTCTCTGGCCGACTTTTTTAATGTTCTCTCTGTTCTCACTTTTGATTTTTATCTTTGTTGTTTGAGTTGCAGAATCAGTAGCCAAACTACTGCTGAAGTTAAATTCTTCTCAAGTTTAAAAGGTTGTAATTCAAACCTAAACCATGAAATTTTCTGATTTGGTCCCTGGCCCAGCCAATAGTTCAAATTGAGACATATTTCTGGCACACAGATGACAGGCTGGAAGTAAAGTAAGGGCCAATCATCAATCAATGACGCCTTAATCTCAAACATCTGGGGTTGGCTATGTGAATCCCCCGTATCCATTTTTATGCTCTACGAGGGTCCTTTTCATTTCAATATTATTTAATTCGTCTCTTAAGGCAAACTAGGAGCTCTCTAAAACTAAAGTTCTCTAAGTCTCCCGGCTGACATACAAATCTTTAACCACATCATGGCAAACTCCGGATCTGGGAAGGGTTAGCGACAACCAGTGTTGTCAAAGGCGCGCTTAAGCCCTGAATCGAGGCTCAAAACATGTTGAGCGCTTCGCCTCGCTTTGTGGGCGCTTTAGTATCGCATCAAGGCTCTAAGGCATATTTTTCCTTGCCAATGAGTGTAATCCTGAAAATGCGACATTAAACATTTGTTATTTCACTTTATCGTATTTTGTTTTTTCAATTTCTTTGTCCATATATTTGTTATTCATGATTGTAATTATTAGTCTTGAACTACATATACATATTTTTACTTTTCCAGTTGCGCCTTTTATCATTAAAGCCCACGCTTTATTTGCACTTTGCGCTTAAAGCCCCAACGGACCTTAGAGCTTTTTTGCGCTTTTCGCCTTTGATAACACTGGCGACAACATGTCATTTAGGGTAGGGAACGGATGAGGGTAACTTTTGGGGCCACAGGTGGTGCCGGGACAGTACTTTGAAAAATTTCTTTCCCCAACATTTACATAATTTCGTGCCAAACGGAGCTGATAGTCCAATAAGTTTGGAGGCTGTAAGATTGTGAAGTCTTCTGCGGTTAAGATTTAGGAGGAATTTCCAAGATTAGGAGGTGACGGAGTTCCAAAATGTGGTCGATCTGCGTCACAAAGAAAGCACTTCACAGGGTAGCATGAGTATGGAGGTGGGAGTGGGTAACAAGGGAGTCTTTTCTGTTAGGTCACTCTATGAGAAGCTTTTGATTAGGGAGGTGGTTGCCTTCCGATATAGCTCGATTTGGATCAGTAAGGTTCCGAGAAAGGTGTATTTTTTTCACTTGGCGTGCAGCAGGAGGGGTGATCTTGATGGCCGAAAATCTGAAGAAAAGGTAGGTCATTTATGTCAATTGGTGCTTTATGTCTAAGGAATCGGGTGAAAATGTCGACCATCACCTTCTACATTCTCAGGCTGCTTCGAGGATATGGTGGGAAACCTTGAACTAATTGGAATTCTTTGGGTGATGCCATCCATTGTGAAAGAGGTAATCTTTAGCAAGAATTGTGGTAGACGTTGCTCTACTAGCACTTATGTAGATTGTTTGGAGAGAAAGAAATGAGAGAGCTTTCGAAGGTTTAGGGTTGAAATTTGTACATTTGAGGAGTAGGCGAGTAGCCTCTCATTCCTTCTTTCTTGTTGGTGCACTCATGAGGTCCTCTGTTGTATAGAAGATGGTGTATCATTCTTAGAAAGCCATATATTTTTGTAAGTTTTCTACTTTTTGGTATAGAATATTGCGAGTGTTGTTTGCCCAAACCCTAATGATATTTACTTTATTAAAAAATGTAAGTGTAGAAATAATAACTAAACCTTAATCTAATTGATTCGTATCGCTCATACGGACAAGAAAAACTAAACCTTAATTTCAACTGATTGGTATCACGCATCTAGATCCTTCGCGTCCATTTTTTATGTCTTTAACTAAGTCCGTAGGAGCTCATAGGTCTCTTTGTTTTTTCTCCCAAAGTTGTAGTATTTTTTTCCAGAGATTGTTGGGGTTTTAGAGCTCAAATGACTTTCTCTCATCGTCTCCTCTATGTGTGCAACTTGCACCCTATTTTGAATGTGATCATGGTTTTGTTCAATATTGTATGACCCATATCCATCTTAACATATATATTTTTACTACACTTATCTTGTTGATATGTTGCTCCTTAGCAGCTGTTAGATAGTTATGTGTAAATAGTCCTAGTCCCATATGTAGTAGGAGTAGAATATGTCCTACTCCCATATGTAGTAGGAGTAGAATATGTATTATATATAGGGCTCATTGTATCATTGTTAAAAACTAGATTTTTCTCCTGTGCATTCTCACATGGTATCAGAGCTTCAGTGAGAAAATCATCGTTGTGCGTCATTCCAACGACGTCCGGGAAGAAAGATCTCATTGCCGTGTAATTTTCCGGCAACTTTGTCTTGTTCCCAGGGTTCATCACTGCTACAGTGGTACTGTGCATATACCAGTACCACCATCATATCCAAAACCCTGGTGCAACCAAAACCCCAAAAATTCCAGTTCCATCGGAACAGAAAAGTCCGTCATCGTGCGTCTTTCCGGTTGACGACTCAAGATTGATTTGTGTTATCTCCTCATCAGTAAGTGTTGTGCGAAAATCAATACTACTATCTTGTTCGAAAACAGTCAATCACCCCGGCAGAAAGTCCCTCACGCGTCTCCACACGCCCCCACGCGCCGCCAGAACTAGGGTTCCGACGAGCTACAATAACTTTTCCGGCGCGTGTGAGCCATTCCGGCCACTTTTTGACAACTTCAGGACAACTTACTCGTCCAGTGATTCCGAGCCTACCCATATAAATTACATCAAATTCTGACAACTTTTATTTTTTCCGGCGTGAACAGTAATTTCCAGAAAAGTTTCTGTTTTCTGGTGATGTTTTAAAACCTATTTTGTAGTGTGGAATTCGGCTTAGTTTCACTATTTTTAAATTTTTCCGGCGACCTTTCGGCAAACTTCTATTTATCAACAACCGCCTGGTTTTGTTGCTCAGGGGGAGTCTAGTGGCCTTGTGTGTCGAATGATCAGATATTTTCACCAAGTTCACTGGTCCTCGTATTAGTTACATATGTAACAAGCTCGGTACATGTGGTTTGTATGCACCGGCTTGAGAGGGAGTGTTAGATAGTTATGTGTAAATAGTCCTAGTCCCATATGTAGTAGGAGTAGAATATGTATTATATATAGGGCTCATTGTATCATTGTTAAAAACCAGATTTTTCTCCCGTGCATTCTTACAAAAATATTCACCCACATTTCACATTGCTGGTTTCACAACCTTCATGTAGAACTTGTTTTTCACTTTGTTATGTATCTTGATCATTTAATACCGCCACGACTCTCCTCCATCTAAGGTCCAACAGTCGCTCACATATAATATTGCTGGTTCCAAAACTGTTCTATATAACTTGCTCTTTTTGCTAGGTATCTTCCTATCACATTGTACCTTCATAGCACTATTTCATTTCTGTCATCTTATTTTAATCCCGTGTTTATTTCATTTATCATGTCATTCTCTTGAAAGAATGAGTCTAGATTTCTGAAATTGTTTGCATTTAGACACCACAATTCCGTCTAATCTTATTCTCTTGTGGGAGATAAACTTGGAATGCATTTTTTTTGGGTCTTGGTTTTACGTATCCTAAAACCTTTGCTCTCTAGAGTGCTTCTCCATTATTCCAAGTCTTGGTTGTCTCTCTCATTAGTTTGGTCATCTACCCCTTGTTTTTGCTAATGGTATCAAATCTTTTATTCAACATTCAGTCTGGGTAACTGGTAAAGTTGCTGCCATGTGACCAGGAGGTCACGGGTTCAAGCCGTGGAAACAGCCTCTTGCAGAAATGCAGGGTAAGACTGCGTATAATAGACTCTTGTGGTCTGGCCCTTCCCCTGACCCCGCGCATAGCGTGCGCTTAGTGCACCGGGATTACTTTCGGTCAAGTACCCTTTTCCAGGTTCATTTCGTACCTCTTTCTCTGAAGTTGGGATAGAGAGAATATCTTCTCTAGATAGAGGCTCTAACACAAGTTGTGCAACGGGAAAGGAAAAGGAGGAGAGGAGCAAAGGCTAGATGGGAGGATTTTACTTCCTTTTTTCTACTTTTTGTATCAAAGTTTAATATCTTATATTTGCTTTCCCAGATCTCACCCTTTTAAAATGCAATATACCTCTCCAAATGTTTCCAGAAATTCAATTCAATTGCATTGGCAGCTGGGTCAGAGTGCATTTTGAAGCAAATTTATACGAGCTAGTGTTACACGCATTATTAGAACTGACCAAATCACAACTTCTGCAATAGTTTGGCAACTACTCTATGACTTGTTCTATATCTACATTTAACATGTGAACTATGCTTGCATTGGAATAAAGATGATTGGAAATAAAGAACACTGTAATGCTGTATGCTAAAGGTTTAAGCCATGGTGTTAAGTATTAATCTACGCTGCTGAAAGCCTGAAAGATTTGTTGACATGGTTTAATCTTTTTTTTTTGTTGAGGTTATGGAGAATGGAATTTCATATTGGATATCCTTGGATGGCCAAAAGACAGGGTTTTATGCCGATCAACGTGAAAACCGTTGCTTCTTATCTACCATTTCAGAGGGTCGTAGAGTTCTTGACATATGTTGCTACACCGGAGGTTTTTCTCTGAATGCAGCATCTGGCGGTGCTTTGGATGTTATCGGTATTAATTATTTTCATTGTCTTGTCAATTCTTATCTGCAAATATAAGTTACTATTTTGCATGAAGAGGAGCCTTGGCGTAACTGTTAAAGTTGTTGCCATGTGACCAGGAGGTCACGGGTTCGAGCTATGGAAACAGCCTCTTGCAAAAATGTAGGATAAGGCTGCGTACAATAGACCCTTGTGGTCCGGTATTTCCCCGGACCCCGCGCATAACGGGAGCTTATTGCACCGGGCTTCCCTTTTTTATAAGTTACTATTTTGCATGTGTAACTCATGCAGTTAGATAACAGCAACAACATCACCTACTACTACACCTCAATTCCAAGCAAGTTGGAGAAAAAAGATACATGATTATTGTGTTTAATGAAAATAAAAATGTACGATTACAATAATGTACAACCGATATATGTTCTTCTGACTAACATATCAATAGCTTCTTTCTCTTTTTCTTTCTTGTTCATTGCTCGCATTTCATACTTTAATATAGAAAATAAAAAGTTGTAATACCTGATCTTTTCCTAGATAAATAAGTAAAATGATAATGACATATTACTATGATAATTATTAGAAGTAATCATAAACAAAAGCTTGAAATGCCAAAAAAGCTAAAAGTTACTATGTTTTGTGATGTTGATGTAGAGTTCTTTTATTAGGTTGTCTTTAGTATATGCTTTTTTGGCCATTTTCCTGTTTCTAGGCAAATGCTTCAGAGCTCAATCCCATGCCTTATAAAGTTAGAACATTTATGTTGATCAATGTCCTACCACCAATCCCATAGGGAGGTAGAGCCGTCAATATGGGTTTCGCCGGCCCAACCAAGCCCGTGATTTAATAGGGTTGGGCTAAGATTTTTGGAGCCTATTTAAAAACGAGGCTTTTAAGCCCGGCCCAAGTAAGCCCGTGGCCCCTGAGGCTTGACCGAGGATAGGCTAGGCCGACCCGTGGGCTTAATAACGTATTTAATTAGAAATATAAAAAAATATAGGAAACTACTCCCTCTGTTTCAATTAGATGACACACTTTCCTTATTAGTCCGTTCCAAAAAGAATGACACATTTCTACAATTGGAAATAATTCAACTTTAAACTCTTCATTTTACCCATTTTACCCTTAATGAGAAGCTTTTATAACCACACAAATGTCATGGCCCCACAAAGCTTTTGCCCCTTAAGCTTTTAAGATCACAAATTTCAAAAGTCTTTTTTTTTTTTTAAACTCCGTGCCGGGTCAAACTATCTCATCTAAATTGAAACGGAGTGAGTAAAAATGACAAGAAAAGTAGCCTAATCTCAAACTGGTAATATTTTTTATGCGAATATAAATATTTTTTGTTCTTAAAATTTTTATTATTTCTTAATGTTTAACTAATTAACATTGCATATAATTTGGTGGAGGGCCCATGGGCTGTTTGTGGTGATTTTAACGTTACCAGATTTCCTTCTGAGAAAAGGAACTGCCTTAGGAGATCCAGAGCTATGGTGGAATTTTCAGATTTTATAGATGATATGAATCTGATTGATCTCCCACTAGAAGGAGGTGTCTACACCTGGTTCAAAGGGGATAATCAAATAACCTCCTCCAGAATTGATAGAATCCTGATCTCTGCAGAATGGGATGACACTTCCAGGAACATCAAGCAATCCCTCCTCCAACGACTAATCTCAGACCATGTTCATGTGCCTTTACAATGTGGTTCTTGGGAGCACACCAAGTCATACTTCAAGTTTGATAACTGGTTGCTGAACACAGAAGGCTTCGTAGATATAATCAAAGAATGGTGGACATCTTTTGAATTTTCAGGGAGGCATCTTAACTTGTAAAATGAAAGCACTCAAAGGCAAGCTGAAGGAATGGAGTAAGAAGTAGCCAGGGGAATTTGGGATTGCAAAAGACCAACATGCTAAATCTGTTAGCAATGTTGGACTCTACTCTGGAATATAGAGCCCTAACAGAAGAGGAATCAGTGAAGAAGGCCTCTCTTCTCATGGAATATGAGGAACACCTGAAAAATGAAGAAATTGCATGGAGGCAGAGATCCAGAGCTCTTTGGCTTAAGGAAGGGGACATGAATACAAGTTTCTTCCATAAAACTGCTAATGCACATAAGAGAAGCAATAACATTGATCAATTAGTTATCCAGGAAGAAACAATTGTAGAGCCACAAAGAATCAAGGCTGAGATCATTGACTTTTACAAAGAGTTATATACAGAGAATGAAGAGTGGAGACCTGTGTGCAACTATGATATATGTCCTAAAATATCTGAAGAAGAAAAGGAGTTCTTACAAAGAAGCTTTGATGAACAAGAGGTGTTGGGGTGTTTAAAGATGTGTGCAGTGGACAAGGCTCTTGGACCTGATGGTTACACAATGGGCTTTTTTATCAAGTGCTGGGATGTATTGAAGCAGGACATTATGGAGGTTTTCCACAATTTTCACTCCCACGAAATCTTTGAAAAAAGTTTAAATGCATCATATATAGCCCTGATCCCCAAGAAGGTAGGTGCAAAGGAACTGAGAGATTTCAGGCCTATAAGCTTGATAGGAAGTGTATATAAGCTAATTTCAAAAGTTTTGACAGAGAGACTTAAAGGAGTGATGGAGAAATTGGTGGATTCACAACAGATGGCTTTCATCAAAGGAAGGCAAATAATGGATGTTGTTCTGATTGCCAATGAAGCTGTGGATTCAAGAACTAAACAGAAGAAGCCGAGAATTTTTTGTAAACTAGACATCGAAAAAGCATATGATCATGTAAACAGGAACTTCTTGTTAAATATGCTATGCCAAATGGGTTTTGGGGTAAAATGGATCAACTGGGTTAAATATTGTATCTCCACTATCAGATTTTCAATCATCATAAATGAATCTCCTGAGGGTTTTTTCCCTGCCCATAGAGGTTTAAGGCAGGGTGATCCTTTATCTCCCTTTCTCTTCATAATAGTCATGGAAGGTCTGAATAACATGGTTAAAACAACAAAAAATAATTGGTGGATCAAAGGGTTTGAGGTAGCTAGAAGTGGAAACAATAGTCTGGAGATCACACACCTTCAATATGTTGATGACACATTAATCTTCTGCGACATAGAAAAGGAGCAGCTGAGGTTTCTAAGAGTTATTCTAGTACTGTTTGAATGGATTTCAGGACTTCATGTTAATTTGAAAAAGAGCCATCTTTACCCAATAAATGAAGTACCTAATATGGAACAATTGGCACTAATCTTGGGAGATGAAGTAGAAACTCTATCTACTGTCTATCTTGGCATGCCTTTGGGTGCCAAATCTAAATCCAAAGAGATATGGAACTATGTTATGGAAAAGTGTGAGAAGAAGCTGTCCAGATGGAAATCCCAGTACCTATCAATGGGAGGAAGACTCACCCTCATCAACTCAGTTTTAGATGCACTCCCAACATATATGATGTCACTCTTCCCTATTCCTGCAGGAGTCATACAGAGATTGAACAAACTAAGAAGAACTTTTTTATGGCAAGGGAACAGAGAAAAAAAAGTTTTTCACTTAGTCAAGTGGAAATCTCTTATAGTTGGCAGAGCTCATGGTGGACTAGGCATCGGGAATTTGAAGGACCATAGCAAGGCTCTCAAGATGAAATGGCTATGGAGGTATTCTCAAGAACCCCAAACCTTATGGGGTAATGTGATCAAAGCCAAATATGGTGAGGAAGACAAGTGGATAACAAAGGAAGTAAATACAGCATATGGAGTTAGCTTATGGAGATCCATCAGGTCACTCTGGCCTATTCTAAAGAACAACTCATCCATCAAAGTGCAAGATGGTAATAAAACCTCCTTCTGGAAAGATAACTGGTTGGGAGATGGATGCTTAAAGGACCTCTACCCTAATATGTATGTTCTGGCACAACACCAACACAACACAGTAGCTGAAATGTGGTCCCCCCAAGGATGGACACTTGTTTTTAGAAGAAGGTTGAATGATTGGGAGGTGGCCAGAATGACTGACTTCATCAAACATCTGGTAAGATTCATAGGTTTACAGAGTGGGGTGGACACAATAAGGTGGCCGGAACATAACAATGGCATCTATAAGGTGAATGTAGCATACAAGATCCTGAATCAAGCTAACCAGCAGATTAACAACTGGCCTTGGAAGCATATATGGAAAATCAAGATTCCCTATAAGGTAGCATGTTTTTCTTGGTTACTAGCAAATGAGGTTGTTCTGACACAAGACAATCTTATAAAGAGAGGGATTCAATTGTGCTCAAGATGTCACTTATGTGGAGAAGATGTTGAGACAGTTAGCCATCTATTTTTACATTGCAAGATAACTGACCAGTTATGGAATATCTTTATTAATCTCAGGGGCATAGCTTGGACAATGCCTAGTAAGATTGCTGAAGTTCCTTTCAGTTGGGATGAAACTGGAACTGGAGCAAGAGACAGAGATAGATAGAGAACTATCCCAGCATGTATTTGGTGGACAATCTGGAAAGAAAGGAATTCCAGATGTTTTGAGGATAGAAGAAACTTTGTGCAGAAGATCAAGCTTAATTGTGTTTTGCTTTTTTGCTTTTGGTGTAAACAGATCTACGCAGAAGATACTGTTTCAATCCTAGATGTCCTAGAATCTTGTTAGGCCTGAGGACCAAGTTTTTTGCTTTTGGCTACTTACTTGTAAATATGGTTTCAGTACAACCTATGTACTGATTTTATTATAATATACAATATGGTACCATCTCGAAAAAAAATAAATTAACATTGCATATAGTTATATATTTAGATGAAATACATCTTTATTTCATAAGAGGATTCAAATGTGCTTGATGAAGATGATCTGTTGGTGTTGGATATGCCATGAGCACCTTGAAAATATTGTTGAGTAGTTTGTTTTGAGTTTTGACTTTTAATGAATAAAATATTATCCTCATTTTTTGTGTTTTATTGTAATCTATTGGAACAATGTCAAAATTATTAAGTTTTGCCGAAGTTTTTTATCCAACAAGTATGAAAAATAATTTTTAAAAATGGTAGGCCAGCCTGTGGGGGCCCGTGACCCGCGTAGGGCTAGGTTGGACTGACCATTTTAACGCCCATCGAAACAGTGGGCTAGCCCTGCCCAGCCCGTCAAATGCCAAAGCCCACGTGGGTTGGGCTTGACCAGCCCGTATTGACAGCTCTATAGGGAGGTAACCTCCTTCCTCATAATTTAGGGTTAGGTTCAAACAAATTGGAAGGTTTTGCAGTCATTGTGTGTCCTCTTCACCCCCTTGGCTCTTTGCCTTCTCTTCGATTTTGAATTCTCTCTTATTCCACTCTAGATCTCTTCAAACTATTCACCTCCATATTGCCCAACTGAAACATCAGGCGATGGTTCATTCTCTCTTTCTTCAAGGATTCCAGCTATCCTTCTATTTCTGAATCCATGGTGTATAAGGCAGTTGAAATCTCAATAATCCTTGATATAAGTATATAATCTAATCACTTCGATGATGCTGGAGCCCATGCCATTCCATCTAGGATCATTACATAAGCAAAAGAGTGTTCCATTGATTTCAAGTTTTCAACTCAAAGTAGAATATCAGTAGTTCTTAACAAAATGAAGTGCAAAGTTACAAGATATTGGATCTAATATGCTAATCAAAACCAACAAACTAAGTCAAGGCTGTAACCTCAACAACGATGATCTTTGGCAGTGATTTAACAGACTTTAGAAGGAGAAGAATAAGGAAGAGAGAGGAAGAGTGATAGAGATAAGAGATAGAGAGGTCGGGGAGAAGCAGAAAGGAGGATTGAGAAGAAGAACAACAGATAGAGAGAATGAGATTTCTGTGTCGATTCTTCACTACCTTCTCATTTCCTCTTTGTTTATATTGACAACAGAGAGATGATGTGCCAAGTCGCTGCCCATGTGACATTCAACCAGTTCACGTGCCTCTAACAAATTGAGGTCATTACATTCCCTTCTCTTTGAATTCAACCTTGTCCTCAACAACAAACAACAACAACAACAACAACAACCCAGTATAATCCCACTAGTGGGGTCTGGGTAGGGTAGTGTGTACCCAGACCTTACCCCTACCCTGGGTAGAGAGGCTGTTTCCGATAGACCCTCGGCTCCTTCCCTCCAAGAACTTCCCACCTTACTCTTGGGGTGACTCGAACTCACAACCTCTTGGTTGGAAGTGGAGGGTGCTCACCACTAGAGCAACCCACTCTTGTCCAACCTTGTCCTCAAGGTTGTTAGAAAATGAGTCGGACCATATCCTTGAGTTCAAAATGGATTTCTCTGTATGATGCTGACCTGCCGATCCAGCTTAACATTATTGTAACTAAATCATACCCGGCATCACTTTCGGAAGGTTTCTCCAACTTCCTGTTGTCACAAAAAAATATTTCATCCCACAATATCAATAGGTCTTCAAGTTGAATTGCATACCAACTAGTTTCTGGCATGTAATGTTGTTTAGCTTCTCTTATCATTTCTTTCAATTTCAACTATATCTCCTGCTTAGTTGTATGAGCATTATCACCAGCAAGTTATGAATGCAGTACACCATCCACCTTCATTGAACTCCATTGCCTTTTCAACATTTTTGTTCTTCATTGAACTTCTAACTCTTTCTACATCATCCTACCTCTCTGCTCTTGCATAAGCATTAGACATAATGACATAGCCTCTAGCATGCTATAATTCAAGCTGCAGGAGCTTCTCTGATACAACTTTTGCTATTTCAAGGTTCTTGTGAGCTCTGCAAGTAGAGAATACTGCATCCCAGATCACAATCTGACTCCAAGGGCATGCTTTCAGTAAATTTAAAAGCCTCGTCCAATCGACCAGTGCTGCCAAGCAATTGACAACAACAGCATAATGTTTCATAGTGGGCTCAATTGAATACTCGCGCTTCATGCTATCAAATATCTGAAGACCCTGATCCACCTGTCCAGCATGTGAGAGCTTTCAGTTAAAACAACAAGAAGAAACTCCATCGTGTTTGGTTCCATCCAGTTCCATATCTGTATAACATTTTAGAGCTTTATCACCATGTCCATGAGTTGCCCGACCCCGAATAATAGGATTTTAAACGACTCAGTTAATTTCATTGGAAGAGCAAAATTCCCAAATCAATAGACTGGACATCTCTCAGACCTCTCAAAAGGACAGCATCTTCCTGAGAACGCCACTAATGCTGGCTCAATTGAAACTGGTGCCATTTCATACCATTTGGCTGCATATTCTAGTTAACCAAATATATCACATCCAAAGAGAAGAGGTTTAAGTGAGGAACCCGATCAAACACTTGATTATAGTTAGGCTCCTTCGTGTTGCCTCACCCTCTACCTTCTTCACCTTAGAATCAATAATCATAAGCACGTCAATTATAGCAACCTCTTCATCTGGTTTTCCTAGGTCCTAAATCCTTGGCATTGCATATTTACTCATTGTAGCCCATGCTCGTTTATCACTCCTTGTGCTGCCTCATTTGATGTCAATTTCTTCATCAACTCCAGAACTTTCACTCTGATGTAGATGCAAAATTAAGCTTCAACTCCATATTTTCCGCCATGGTTGTTAATCAGAGCTGTGCCATGAAAATGGCTCTGGTACTATTTTGTAACAGTCTAACCTCAAGGATCATTACATAAGCAAAAGGGTATTCCATTGATTTCAACTCAAAGTAGAAGTACAGCAGTTCTCAATGAAATGAAGTGTGAATTACAAGAAAGTGGATCTTATTAAGTATGTGACCATCTCATCTAAAAGCTTAAGCTATTAGAGAGAACATTTGATTTACTTCATTATATTCTAAACACGCCCCCTCACGTGCAGGCCTGATTCTTTTTCATGGGCCAAGCACATGGGAATTTTCTTTTTGAAAATGGGTGGCGGTGAGACTCGAGCTTAAGATGTTTGCCTGCCTAAGTACCATGTTGAAGGTCTGGCCATCTCATCTAAAATTTTAAGCTGTTAGAGAGAAGACACTTTTATTTAGTTAATTATATTCTCAACAGGTCTAAATTGCTAATCTGAACCAACAAAGTAAGTCAAGGCTGAAACCTCAACAATGATGAACTTTCGTATGATTTAACAGTCTTTAGAAGAAGAATAGGGAAGAGAGAGGAAGAGCTATAGCATTAAGAGATAGAGAGAGAAATAGACAGATAGTGAAGGAGGAGAAAGGAAAGTTGAGAAGAAGAACAGAGTAGATTGAGAGAATGATATTTCTGTAATGATTCTTCACTGCCTTCATTCACATTTCCTCTCTTGTTTATATTGATAACAGAGAGATGATGTGCAAAGACGTTGCCCATGTGACATTCAACCAGCTCACGTGCCTCTAGCAAATTGCTATCATTACATGTTGATAAATGGTGCAGAGAAGAACACTGCAGAAGACACAATGAGAGCATATCTGTAGTTACAGGTGGTGAGAGAAAGGTATATACCTAGAATGCAATAAAGAGGCAGAGAAAGACATTGGCTTATTCCATTTGCTGTTTTCTCTGTTTTCTTTTTTCTCTGGTATTGGTTTAGTCACATGCAGGAGGATAATACACCCAATAATAACTAATACATGGGTAATAGATTTGAAAGAAACACTTGCTTCTCGCTTCCCCACCGCCTCGCTCTTATGTGCGCTATGCACTTGCTTCATTCTTTGCACTTCACATTAAGCGAATATCATTCTTCGCCTTTTCACCATCATTGAAAGTAAGAGCGGTAGATTCTCACAGCTTTTTTTTTTTTTTTTTTTAAGAATTTCCCAGGCTTCCTGGGGTGTTGTATTTATTTCCAAAAGATAGGAGGGGGATGTGAGCCTTACCTCCAAGGATTACAACACACCGATATACATCCAACAGAGGTTGTTACATTAGTTTGCGCCTCTGTTAAAGTACAAGACATTTACTACTTAGCTAACAAAAAAATTTGTTTTGTCATACTTAAGCCTAACAGTAGGCATCTGGTGTTTGTCAAGCACAAAAGAACCTTTAGCTCCTTTTGGGAGTTGTTGGAAAGAAAGGTATACTTTGGCTTCAGAGTTAGTAGTTGCCAATTTTGCTAGAGAATCTGCTACTTCATTAGCCTCCCTGAAGCAATGCACAGGGCTAATATTGGCCTGGTAGATTCTCACAGCTGTAGTTCAAGTCGGTAAAGTTTGTGGAGTCGTTCAAGAATGCGAGCAATATTTATCTTATTCCTCGCGGTGTATCAGAACACTTTCGTAGTTAATCCGACGTGCTATTTTTTTCTTATCTTGGTACTACTTTATAAGTTTGCGTCTGGTTTTCTAGTGTTGTGAATACTCCGTGTTTTGAAGGTGTTGATTCATCTTTGCCTGCATTGGAACTTGCCAAAGAAAATGTTGCATTAAATGGCTTGGATTCCCAAAGGATATCTTTTCTGCGAGAAGACGCAACTGAGTTCATGAAGGCTGCTGTTTCTAGAAACGAATCGTGGGACATAGTTATATTGGATCCTCCTAAATTGGCGCCTCGGAAAAAGGTAATTAAAATGTTTTGTATGTGGATTTCAGTGTTGATATCTTGGTGAGAAACTGTACTTTGTTCTGAATCTAAAAAGATTTGCATTTGCTGTATGGAGTGTAGGCATCGCTCAATTTCTGAGTTATGGTAAATGAATTATTTTGTGACGCGTTTGGTGGAAAGTGATTTACTGATGTGGTATCTCAAGTATTGGTTGTTGGATCACATGGCTAATGGATTTGAAAGAATATTGCTTCTAGAATATTTCTGATAGAAAATGGTGATCAACTTATATATCCCAGGACCAGTGCATGCAATACATTAACCATTTTAAGTAACTTCTCATGAAATTACAGAATATGACATGAAAGTCACTTCCCAAGAAACTACGCGGAAAAATTCCCAATGAGATGGTGAGCGGAGGATGATGCCATAGAACATCTGTTTTATCCAACGGGATGGTGAGAGGAGAAGGATGCCGTAGAGCATCTGTTCTTTTTGAATATGCTTGGAAAGAGCATTCCTGGTTACTAACTTCCTCATTTGTGAGGATAAGTCATATTTGCCTCTGTCGTGTCTTTGATTCATCGCTTTTATTCCATCTTAGTCATTTCAACTAATTGGCAGGAAAATGCTTTTCTATGACATCGTGTTATTTGTTTCAGACCTCTTTCATTTTGTAATCATTTTTCACTTGTTCGTTACTTAATACAGGTCTTAAAGAGTGCGTCTGGCATGTATAGGAATTTGAACTATTTGGCCATGCAGTTGACAAAAAGAGGTGGTCTCCTAATGACCTGCTCATGTTCTGGAGCTATGACCCAAAGTGGACTGTTCTTCCGCATTCTTCAGGCAAGTTAGATTAGCTTTATTCAAGGACTAGTAAAAAGATATATCAAACACCGTTGGAATCTTTGCCGATATTATGAAAAAGTTTTCTGTAAAAAGAATGTTGTGTTTGAGTAACTTGTTCTGAAAAAAAGTTTTGGAAATTGTCCTTCCCTAATATTTGCAATTTTTTTTTTGATTTGCGGAGGAATGACTATGGTTCTTTTTAGAGGCGGATTCCGTATTTTACTACTGGGCCCGTTCAGGCCTAGTATTTTGACTCGGAGTACATATTTATATGTGAATATCCACTAAAATTTTAACAAATATTAGATCTGAACCCAGAATTTTAAAAGTACAATGAGTTCAATGTTAAGAATTTTAAAGGTCGAACCTATCAAGTTAAAATCCTAAATCCGCCTTTAGCTCTAGTACCAATCCTACAAGAAAAAGGAACCCAAACTTAGTGACTACTCCATACTGCATAGTTTTTTCCTTTATTAACATGGCACCAAAGAGGTGCTGTAAAAATATTTACAAGATGCCAACAGAATATCCCTTCCTACTCATGAGTTCTCTCACTGCTTCAACATCATTTACGAAATTCTATTTACGCCAAAAATGAAATAAAAGTAAACAGTTCATCCTCAAAGGGATCTAGGATGTGAAGATTCTGGATTCCTATAGCAACTTCAAGTCAATATTACAATAATAACTACGAATCACAGTCAAATACTTATATATAATTAGTGGATTTCTTAATAATATATACATGGTCTGGGCAAAAGTTACTGGGTTCATGTGAACCCATAACCAACGCTCTAGATCCGCTCCTGGTTGATCTTCTGAATAGAGTTTCCTTTATCGTCAAATCACCTAGTGTTTCACTCCCTCCAAACTGTCCACCATATGCAAGCGGGAACGGTTTGCCAGCATTTCCTTTGATTGGAATTCTTGCCTCTGATGCTCCAATATTTCAGTAGCTCCCAAGTACACCCTCAGATGCTCCGTTTTAGTCCCACCATATTCAGAAAGAGTTGCCATAGCTGGTCCATAAGATGATAGTGCAAAATAAATGTTTGATACTCTCAGCCTTGTCTCCACATAGATAACATCTGGAGCAGAACAGAAATCCTCCTTGTTAGAGATTTTCCTGTGTTAAACAAGCTTCTCGGGCTACCCAGTGAAAGAAGGCACTTTGTGAGTTGCATTTGTTTTCCACATACAGCATAGTTTTAGCACCCAAAATCCATTTGATGCCCTGAAACTTGATGTTTGATTAACAGGTTTGTTAAAAGACAATGTTATCTAATGGAACACCATGATATAATGTATAAAGTAGGCTTTAGTTTTTTTTCTTTTTTTCTTTTGTAAGGTAGTCCATTTTAACTTTGTCAATTCTTGCTCTGCTCCTATGTGGTTTTACAATGTCTATGGACAAGGGCAATTAATAACTCGATGCTCTTTATATAGCTGTGGATAGACAGAAGTTTGTTGATGAAAACAGGTTTTTCTTTGATGACGACCGTTACAATACTGATAACCATGTCACTGAATGAAGCATCCTCACCCATTGTGCAAGTTGTGCCTGCATGAGCACATTTTTGGCAACAAGATCTATTCTTTGTGGTATTTAAATGCAGCCTCTTTTCAAAAGAGAACTTGCCAATTTTAATTTGGTTATTATTTCGAGCTGAACTGTATGTTAATATCTTGCTCCAGTCCTTCAAGAAACATAGCTTGACTGATTTGCTTGCACTTAGGGTGCTGCATCAATGGCTGGGAGGAAAATCACTGTTGTACGTCAGGCAGGAGCAGCATGTGATCATCCAATTGATCCTGCCTATCCAGAGGGAACATATCTCACGAATATCTTGCTTAGAGTGTTGTAGATCTTTTTGTATATCGAATGAACCCCTTGTTTACTAATGGAATACAGCAAGTTCAAGGTGTAAGTTAAAATGCCATTTTTTTTCCGTTTTGAGATTTCTTTTTCTTTTTCCCTCTTTCGGAGTCCTATCTTAGTATTAACTCCCTTCATACTTGTTGTATTACTTGTTGACGGTCGAAGTTGGTTTGTGCCCTGACGCGTTGACTTGCTTGTTGAGTGAGTTGAGCAAGAGACAAGATTTCTAGAGTGAAATACGGGTGATCGAAATCGAACTCACTTTCCACTCGGTAACATTCTAAACTTATAATTATAAGACATTACGACCAAGGGAATGAAAATGTAGACATCTAAGTATGTGTGTAGCTTGTCTGAATTGCCTCTTTTTTAGCACTTCTTTTTTTGTTGGATTTTTACCTATTTACTTATAACTCCCTAATCAAGTTTCAATTTAATTACATGGTTATATACAATTTATCAATTATATACAAATTAGTTTTAAATGAGTCTTGATTGTAGCCCATTAATTTAGTAAATCCTCCAATCACAGTATTTGTTCTCTCTTTGAAATCACCTATTTCTACACCGATTCTATTAAGGTTTTTTCTTTTAAAGCTCCTACTTTTCTCTAACAATGGTGAAGGACGGGATTGATTTTTTATCGATCTGAATTTTGCCATGGCTGGAGTTTGGATTTATTCTGGGCTTCCCCTTTTCTTGTTGACGTTTTGATTGCGGGCTAGCAACAGATGAATATTAATTATTTGGCTCGAATGTTCGAATTGAAATTGTCAATCAATAAATTTTGAAGGTGTTTAACTCTCCACCGTTGATAACCATTAAAAAAGCTTCGAAGCCTTGATTTCGAGTTCAGATTATTCAAAAAATATTATTTGTTTGGATTGGGTGTTATTGCAAACGATTTGGAATATTCTATGGAGTTAATATCTCGATTTTGAGGGTATTTGATGAAGATTAGATTGGATTTGGCTGAATTTCATATTGAAATTCGAAGAAGCAGAAGAACACACCACATAAAATATATACAAATCATATACAAAATACATACAAAAAACATATTTGTATGAAAATTGTATTTAAGTTGTATGATATTGTAGTTGTATTTAACTGGGTAAGAATGATGTATGAAAGTTATAGATAAGTTGTATGCTATATAATTAGTTGTATGGAATTTATTTTTAATTATTTAGATGAAGGACAATTTGAACTTCGTTCCCTTCATTTACGCCATTTTCCCAGCAAAGAATTTCCTAGTTTAAGACACTAATAATATATTGTATATAAATTATAAGAAAAACTTGTTTAGGGCAGGTAATATACAAAATTTGAAATTTTTGGTAAATAAGTTACAAACATTTGTATAGGAACGAAAAAAATCCCTTTTATTTTTTTCAAAATTAAGAAATAAGAGCTTGACCGGAAAGAAAAGCATTTTCTTTAGCACTTCATTCTCACAATTATCATTACTATTTTATCTTTTTTGCTTTAATGTGCTTCTCCTTAGTCCCTACTTCGTCCTAAATCCTTATAGCCTGCCCTTAAGGGTAACATGGCTGTCATATGGAGTCCAACTGCGTATTTCACGATAAAGACGTTGAAAAATATTTCTAATTTGAGACGTCAAAAGGCCAATTTACATCGTCTATTTGGGACCAAAAGAGAAAAACCTCCATTTATTCGAGACACAGGTAACACAAGTGTATCAAAGTTATCACAAGTGCGATAGCTAATAATCCAATTATCCAGATAACAAGTGATGTTTGGCATATTTCGATATGTGTTGATGTTACTTTACCCATATTTTAACCACTTCTT